AGATATATGTAGGGTTGCCGGCCGGAGCTTCTATTGCGTGCGATCTACAATTGATCAGAAAATACCCCCCCCAAAAAAAAAACAACGTCCGATCCGGGAACGCCTGAAAAGGAGGCTAAGTGAACATAAGCAAAATGAAGTTGACTTCAAGTTGAAGTCATACAATACTTAAAAAAACAGGTTGGGACAGTTCATTATGATATTTGGGTAGTAAAAGATCAACATCCTTGTGCCGTAAAACCGTGTTGGAAAACTGCCAACTCCAACCGCTGTTTGTTTACATTCTTCAGCCCCCTTAAAAGACAGCGGGCCTGGCGTACCTTATTCTCGCGCTGCGCCGAGTCGCCGGAAATAGCGACGCTAATATGTTGAAAGTTATCGAAAATGACGATCAAAATGAGAAAATTTTTCAATCATTTATATTTATATTACAGTTTTGGCGCAAAAATCGTACATAATTTCGTTTTAAAATGTTTCGATTTCATGATTTTCTCGGCTTTTCTCCTGTTTCTTGGCGACTTGCCCGTTGGAGTACCACGTATCTTGAGATGATATTGATCAGTGACCTTTACTGTTCATGGCGAGAGCGCTCAAGAATGTTTCTATTCAAGACGAAGTGAGTTGTTTGTTCACGTCTTCATTCGTTTGATAACTAGTCTCTACCAGACTAACTACGCTGGCTATACATAGCAGAATATTTGCCGGTGGAGTTTGGTCGCCTTGTTAGGTTTGACAGGAGCCGGGAAAGAAACTACCTCCCCGCGGCCGGACTCCCTTGGCCAATTTTACTCTCTTTTTTGCCGAATTCTACGATCTGTAGAAAGGCCTGGTGGAGGCTATTTGATTACAGTGCTGGTAGTACACAATGTCCCTTTGTGTGGTGTTTGTGTGTCGGCGGCTTTACCTGGAATTTTTAAAGTGTCGTTAATCTTGAAATGGGTAAGACGTTTACTTTGTCTGTGGTGGCCATGAGCTTGGCCAACGCCCAAGGTCTGTCTGCCATTTGATCGTTCTACTGCCCGGGGTTTAGAGTTTACAGTCGGACAGGTATGGTCGAGATAGTAGATCGTTGGTGCCCTCCGGCTACAGTAAGGCCACACCGACTTAATTATATGGATGACATCCGCGCGCGCATTGATTTTCGCCTGTCGCCCTCAAAAAAAAACAAAAAAACAAAGATCACCTCCACCGAGGCTCTGGCCTGGCTCTAGGCCTGCGTAGTCCATGCTAGTCAGCGAGAAAACGGAGCCAAGCACCCAGGCTATCGAATTCGAAGCTCCACGACTCAAGATCTCAGTACATAAGTACAGTACCGATTCATAAATGCCACAAAAAGCCAGCATGTGCCGGCTTGTCGTATACGTCGCTATGTACTGTCGGGAATTCACAATACCAGCTTTGTATTCCTGTGGTTTAGTAGCATTTTTATTTTTGGCCGGAATTTTTTTTATTCGCCCGCGCGCACTAGCTTGGGGGTCTTCAGAGGATGTCATCCATGAAATTAAATCGGTGTGGCCTAATCTGTGACAAAAACAACTTCCCAAGACTCCCGCAGTGATAGCCTGGTAGAGTCCCGGCCAGTGGTAGGGTTGTTAGAAACGCGATTTTCAGTTAGCCAGGCTCAAGCCGATCCCAAGCAAGCCTTTTGTATCTATAGTACTATACAGGCATCTACACACACACACACACCCGAATACGCCAGGGTAAAACAGACCCTTAACCCTGGGCACACTGGACTATCGTGGTAAATTTCAGTTAAGATATGGTTTAATCCTGAATATAAATTCTTTATGGTCTCAACAGAAAGTACAGGAACTTTTGTATAGTCTTCTACAATGTTGAAGACCATACGTGGTGGCGTAGCGGTAACGTTTTCGGCTCAGGACCAAGAGGTCGAATCCTACCCATGTCACCGATCTTGTGCCCTTGGTAAAAGCACTTTACACGACTTTCCTCACTTCACTCAGGTGGAAATGAGTACCTAGCTTCGGTTAGGGACGTCCCTCGGATAGGACGTTAAATGGAGGTCCCGTGTTTGGGGAGAGCCACACCCCACGCACGTTAAAGAACCCACCACACTCATCGAAAAGAGTAGGGGACATTCCCGGTGTGAGTGGTTCAAACCTTACAGTCCGGTCTTACGCAGCTTATACTTACGCACATGTACAAAACTGGTGTGTTACGCCTAAAGGCGGTTTACCGGTTATGCGAAACAAACACCGTCTCCCAAGAATCCATTAAGAGAAGGGACACAGTACATTCTGCACAGTACACTACAGGACAAATACACAAACAACAAGGTCACTTGTTGTGATCGTTCAATTCAAATGTATAACTGTTTGCCCCCCCCCCCCACAAAAAAAAATCTATAAACCTGTGGCACCCGACAAAAATTTGATCTGTTCTGTCTGGGGACCATGTAAATACGAAAGTAGTCCGCTACAAGGTATGAAATGCACTTCGACCAAAGGAATTTGAAGTGCATTCTGCTTTCCCTGGACACTTTTCTAGCAGGTGAAGCTTCAGTAAGTTGACAAAACCTCGGGAGAAACTAACAATCGGCGCACTGTCTGCTTGTAGCGGGCTACTTTTGTATCTACATAGTCCCTCGACCTGACATGAACCTCAGAAGAAAACTGACGCACCATTTTTTTTCTCAAAATATTGTTGTAGATTCTACAAGATCAATGGCACGCTCACGTAAAAGTATAATCTCCAAGCAGATCCCTTTCGGTGGCAAGACAGTATCCACTAGCCATAGAAGTTCGCCGGCCACAGTAGCGACAAAAAAAAACCCTGCCATATATAAAAAGCCAACGATCATTCCCCCACAACCTCTGCTTGGAGAGTAGTAAAAGTATATACGTACCCACCTGCTGTTTAGTATGTAGCTGCTGTCTCACCTTGCGTACGGAAGACGAGAAGCTCACTGTCACCCACCGTGAGGTTGACACTATTTAAAACTCAATTGTCGCACCTGTTGAAAATTGTTCCCACCGCGGCTCAGTTTTCTCCGTCGTCAGGACAACCGGTGTCACCGTCACTACGCACCTTTGCCCAGGTAGCCTCCTGTGCAGGCTCCGGGGCGGGTGGGAATTTTGATACAGCGTTTTGTACACTTTTTAACACGATATTTTTATAGCCGGCCATCCTAAAATTAGCTGCCGAGAGAAGGTTCCATTCCGCCCAGTAGGCGGTTGTAGAATGGTCGGCTATTACAATATCGCGTTAAAAACTCTTCAAAACTCTGTCTCAAAATTCCCACCCGCCCGGAGCCTGCACAGGAGGCTATACCCAGTAGTTACTGTGCGTATTGACCGCGCGATTGTTCGAACGGAACTTTGCCTTCCGATGACAGGTGTTAAAAGTTGCGCCGTTAATCATTACCTTCGCAGAGCAAGAACAAATTTGTAGAAATATGAACAGGAGTTCAAGAATATAACTAAAGTACAGTCGCCGAAGCGCAGCGCGAACAGTATTGTTCTGCTGATGAAACAGAATCGCTTTCAGGATATTAAATGACTTTGGTAAACAACGCAACTCGGCGAGCTCTTTTTTTCCAGGAAGCAGCATGGCTTCCTAGAACTCAGCCAGTCAACATTGACAAACATTCTTTCATTTCTGAACTGGAGTTTTCACCGTGATGAAGAAATTAAAGACATATTACAGGGACAGCTTTACTACTTGTGTCTTCTTTGATTTACTAATAATGTCACGCTGTTCAAATATCGCGAGTAGACTTCATAAAACAAGTGACACAATTCCCATCGTGGATACAACGGTATACATACCTACAAAGCCTGCTAAGTTTTCTTGCACAGAATGTTTTCCTTGATATATCTTGTACAATCGAATTAAGACGTCAAACACAACGTAAGTGCCTCTTTGTCCGGCCGGATATCCAGTCGATTTAGTCTTGTGACAAAGAACACTGCACAAATGTACGTGAACTTACGTACGTCGAAAACGAATGTAACAGGTCAGGGGTTTTGGCCAGTCACAGAGGGTCCAGTTTGCCTTTCGACTATTTATTCAGCCGGCAAAGGAGACAAATGATCCGCAGTGTTGCACTTCGAGTATATTTCATCTCCTAGTCGTATTTCTACAGTTCTTGCTCTGCGGCAATGATTAACCACGCAACTTCAATACCTGCTATACAAAGGCAAAGTTCCGTTCTTGAACAGTCGCGGTCAACACGGACAACGGCTGCTGTCATGACGACAGGGGAAAAACTGAGCCGCGGTGGGAACAGGTGCGTCAAAGGACCTTTCGGCGAGTTTTGGCATCTGCTGGAGGTGGTAGTGAGCTTCTTTTTCTTCTTTTTTCCTGCAAGGTGCTGTACGCAGCTCTGAGGTACGTTCTTGTTGTCTACAACTTTTATGTTAAGAAAAATAGTGGACCGCTTTTCTTCTTAAGATTAAGACCAGGTTATGTAAGTAAGCAGTCAACATGTCGTTTGTTGGTTTCTTCCCAACTTTTACCGAAGCTTGACCTAGAAATAAGTCAAGAAAAAGACAGCGAATCGGTCGAATTCCTTTGGTCCAAGCGAATTTGATATCGTATTCTAGAGTGCACGGATCTATACCATTTATATGTATTGCCATGTGAGACTTCTGTACGTTTCTTGGGCATAAACATATTCACTTCATTTGAGCCACAAACGCTCATAAGTGACCTTGGTATTTGTGTCTTTGTCCTGAACTGCGAAAAAAAAGGAAACTACTGTGTGTGGATTCCTGGGAAACAAATCACAGGTTCTACTCTTTCCGGCCACTTCCGAGGCCTGATAGAGGCTACGACCCTCCTGCTGGCCGGGTCCCAAGCAGGCCCTGGTCTCTAGGCTATCACTGTGGGAGTCTACTCTCCAAGTAGAGGTTTGGGTGTTGGCTTATTTTTAGCGTGTTTTAGGCTATTTTTTTATCGGGCTTCTTTTGCACTGGTATTCTTTTTTTTTTTTACTTTTTGTAACCCGATAAAAAGCCTAAAAACAAGCCAAAATAAACCCAAACCTCTGCTTGGAGAGCACGCTAAATTTTTTGACCAGGCAATAAAACACTACTTGTGGTAGACAGAGACGTCGGCCGTTGTGGTTACCGTGTTGGTGGTACAGAATGTTCCTTTGTCTTAGTGTTTGCGCCTCGAAGCCTTACCTGGAATTTAAGTGTCGTCAATCTTAACTGTTGTTTGCTCTTGTTGGGGGTGACCGAGAATACCTTTGTTGCGGGACTTTAATACGTTGCGTTACGACTTTGTTGGTTTTCCTCTATTTTGGTGGCCTAGGAATTCTATTTTGTTGCAGTTTTCTGTGAAATGAACTAACGTGAAATTTCAAGAAAGCGTTTTATGCTTTGCACAGTGTTTCAAGGTAGGAAGCCGTGTGTTTTTGCGTTAGCCTGTGCAGAGGAAAACCAATTGTGAAGGAAACCTGGCACAAATTTGCCACATACAATTCGTGACGAAATTCGTTTTTTAAAATACTTTTTAAAGGCAAAGCAACTTCAATCCATTGGCAACCGATGACCTTATTCCATTACGGCAAAGAAGGTTAGACTTCCAGGTGATGAGGCACACAAGACGATAGCCTTTTTTTAAATTTAAACATGCAAAAATACAATACATAGCGGTGACGCACTCAAGCAAAATGCTCATATTCCCGTCACTACTAGACATAAAATAAAAATTACATCACAAAAAATGGGTATCGTCCAGGTAACAAGAGAACAGAGTTTAGCTATTAAGATATAATAAATGAATACAGAACTATAAATCAGTTATTAAATCGCTTAGTTTCAGAGAAATATAGCTGTGTTATAATGAGTAATTAAGAGATGACTTTAGATGAAAGTAAAGGTGATACGCAGATAGCCTATTTCACAAGCAACTGAATAGATATATATCTAAAACTGCTTGGCTTTCATTGTTTGAGGTGATATGTTTCTGTCTCCTTGCAGCCTACATGGAGAAATACATAATCCAACACGAGCTCGGTCAGGGAGCGTTCGGTAAGGTGTACAAGGCGGAACGTCAGGAAGACGGCAGCGTGCACGCTCTCAAGTGTCTCACCGTGGACTCACTGGACAAAGTGGAAGTCGTGATAAAGGAAATCAGCGCTCTACAGCAGGTAAGGATCATTATTAACAAACTAGAAATGAGTATTAACAACCTTAAGAAATACTAGAAAAGGGGTGTGTCAGCTTTTGTTTGCAAAATATAGTATTATCTAGAAAACTTAAAAGACTACCACCAATTCCATAATATGTCAGGATTTTTCTTCGCCAAAGTATGCGTGCTGATGAATGACTTTGACAGAGATGTTGAAAGGAAGGAAAGGTCAGTGGAAAGATGATGAATACGATGCTAGGTCCTTTATAGCCTTTGTCCCTTATAATCCTAAACATATTTGCTAATTCGTCTAAATTGTAGGTCGGAGAACACCCAAACATCATGCAGTTCACTGAGAAGTTCACAGAGGGCGCTGGTTTGAACACCCCTGCGCTGAACGTGTGGCTCGTGCTGGAATACTGCAACGGGGGAACCCTGGACACGTGCGTTAGTTACTATGGTTACATGTACAAATATAATGTACGTGTTGTGAAGTATTTGCGATACATTCTCTCCATACGCCCATCAGCCTTAGTGTGGCATACTTTGTGCCAACTTAAAAGGTAGGATAGGGGTAGACGTGGACAAGTGCAAGGACACGACAAGTGAAAATCAGTTATGTTATTGTTAGTACTACACATATTTACGTATGTACAAAGGAGGCAGGGGTGCTTCCTTACTAGTAGCTAACTAAACGTATTTGCCGCGCGCGCGGGATAGCTCTGCCGTGGGAGAATGGGCAGCTCAGTGCGAAGCCCGTCCCAGCTCTGCTTTGAACTGGGAGATGGACTTCGCCTCCGCCACACTGGGCTCAAGTTCATTCCACTCCTTGATGGTGCGAGGGAAGAACGAGCGCCTGTAATAGTTGTTCTTACTGGCGATGGTCTGCAGCTTTAAAGCATGGTCTAACCAAAAGATACTAATATAAAGGCTATCATTGTATACGCTTCCTTATAATACGACAGGTGGTTAGGTATCACAAATAAAAAGCTTATAATGTTCCCAAATATCCATTACACTTCAGCTTCATCTTGGGTAGGAATAACCCTGACCGAGCGACCGTTCTGCAATTATTGTGCGACACGATAGAGGGCGTTGCCTACCTGCACGGCAGAAACATCGTCCACCGAGACCTGAAGCCTGACAACATCTTGGTGGACAATTCCAGGCGGAGACCGGTTGCTAAGGTAAGCCGGGATCAATAGTGTCAGTTTAATTGCACATTGCTAGCCTTGATGCTTCACACTTCTGTATTGGCAACCCGACAAAAGAAAGCGGTGACATCCAAAACTATTACACACCTACGGACATATGTTACAAGAAAACTTTGGCAACTTGGGGATTATATATATAACTTGACTAGTCTTAGTGTAAGTCTAAGTTTAAGTGTAAGTGTAAGCCTACGTCTAAGTCTCCTTCTGAGTCTTAAAAGACCTAAAACGTCTAAAAAAGTCCTAAAAGTCTTTAAAAGATTTGACGTCTTAAAAAGTCGTAAATCAAAATTAACACTTTTCAACTTTTTCGACTTTTTAAGACTTTTCAAGACTTAGAAGAATTTTTAAGACTTAAGCCTTAATTAAAGTCCTATTTGCAGCACGGAAGTTGTTGTCGGTATGAGCAGGTATTAAAGGATTTGTTGGCCTGATGAAAGTTCTGTATCCATCGCCCTTTAGATCGCAGATTTCGGCATCGCCCGTGTGTGTGAGCGGAGTGGCTGGGACATGAACAGTTACTACATGCAGACTGCGGTCGGTACTAGGCTGTACCTGTCGCCTGAAATCATCGGACCACTGCTGGGTAAGACGGTTGATTTTTATGTTTACCTTCGCAGAAGGAATTAATACATATTGTTTTTGCTCAAGGTCAATGACCTGGACCAGACGTCTATCACCAATGGTAACTGGTGCTGTAGCACTGACACATGGTGTTGGGTTACATTATGTAGCAGAACAGAGTTGGAGAGCCTGCAAGTGAAGTATAGGTACTCTCGTCTGGTACTTTTGGTCTTGACGTTATCTAACGTTCTGGCGTCATCACGGTCAACAGCACAGCGGCCAGATCAGGTGACCTACACCGCCAAGACCGACGTCTTCGCCTTGGGCCTGATCATGGCCGCCATTTTGGATCGGACGACAGTTGCGTTCAACCCGGGAAAAGTGACGCCCTTCCTGCCGGACCCCGCCAACAACGGGCAGCCCGCGCCTGTGGCTGACGTCATGATCGCACATCCGGGGTACCCGCTGGAAGACATGCTGGTGACCAGTGAACCTCCGGGGTCTCCGCTAAAGGTACATAACGATATATAACGGCCGTGAATAGTTTCATCAGGTTGGTAAGACACTGAGTAAAGAGACTCTTTTGTACACAACCAAGTCTTTTATTCAGCCGACGTTTCGGTGACTGTCTGTCACCTTCCTCAGGGCAATTCTGACTGGTTCACATTACACTGCAGCACAGGTGTCGCTGCTACAGATGCATTCCCAAACGTACAATATTTACCTGGTATAGTCTACACATATGCGTGGTTACAGGGAACTGTATCAGAAGCGGTCCCAAATGTACAAGAGTTGGATATATACAAAACCGTGGTCAGTTATTAAACAAAAGCAGTTACAGAGAACAGATTCCACAATGTGGTTCCAAACGTACACATGATAGGTCATATACGTAAATCTCTCACCTAGAGCTTTTGGCCAGCTCCTCTGGTCTTCCTCAGTAGACTGACCCACTGAGCTTGTCACGTGACTTTTTGTAGTATGACGCCGACACTGGGTCAAAGGTATCTGGAAAGAAGAAGAAAGTCAGCTATTGGGCAAACAAATGACGTTCACTCCCCTGAGATTATTATGGTTTCTGATGCTTTATTGAGCATGAAAAGGCCGGTTCTTTTTCCCCCCAGACCCTGATCCTGTCCATGCTGACAGTTTCAAGCCGACAGAGACCCACATCAGAACAGGTTCTCCGCAGGCTCAGGCAGATCATCAAATCGTCTGACAGGTGGGTCACAACTAGTTGTGACGTCATGACTAGTTCGTCATGACTCTGAGCCGCGCTAGTACACCGACGTCTTGTCACATGGATACTCGTGGCCTCCCCCTACATTCCAATGATTAGCCTCCTTCGCAGTCTTGTTGGGCGTCGGCGTTATTTTTTCTGTGAGCGACGCGAGTAATATGCCGCCGCGAGGGACGATTTTGCTGCCGAGGGTTTTTTTTTTGTTGGAGCGCGAAACCTTCTCTCCGTGGCAAAAACCCCCTTGGCAGCAAATCGTCCCTCGCGGCCTTTTATTACTCGCGTCGCTCACAGAAAAAATAACGCCCACGTCCAACAAGACTGCGAGGGAGGCTAACAGCAAGTACGTTTCATGGATGACATCCTCAGAAGACTTCAAATCTATTGCGATAGGGCAAAAAAACAAGGCGGGCCCAAAAAAACAAGATTCCTACATTTTGGCATCGTAAACCTTGTTAAACAAAAAATGATATCTATATTGTGCTACGTTTACTGCTAACAACATTCATTTCTTACTGAAACAACTTTGAAAAATAAGTTTTCAATCAATATCCAGTTGTTTTTGATTCAGTGGGAACATCACAAATGCACAGCCATCATCACATCTAAATCGTTTGACTTTCAACTAGAAAAATACTTGAATGTTTTCCTTCAAATGCTGATATTTCAGGGCCAACACCCAAACTTCGGTACAGCCTTCCACGCTCCCACCCTCCCCACATACTGTGGTGGAGATACCAGCTGAGGATACAGAGGATCGGTAAGCAGCTCACGCTTTCTTTAGACCCTTTGATAATAATAATAACGAAACGATTCTAGTAGTAGCAGTCCAAAAGTAGAATTCCGCGATCCCAAACCCTCACATTTTCTCGCATTTTAATACACAATTTACACCAAAATGCGAGCCTCGGAAACGGAAACGGACTTGCTTCCATGCTAGCACTAAAATATTGGCGTAATGATGACATCCATAGGGTCTTGAATTGTCACCGTGATGAAAAACATAAACTCACGTAACCGAAAACCCATGTACAAAGGGACAAAGACCTAACTTTGATCGTTGATTTCTACATACGCAGCACCTGCTGTGAGGAATGCTGGAGGTGGGACGACAATCGGCACTGGTACACGCCATGCGGGAAGGGCCCTGGGTGGGTGACTGTGCTGCTGATCGCTAGGTTGATCGTTTGGGTGGTCCTCTGCACTATTTTGTTCTTCTTGATTTTTGTTTTTATTGTATGCTTTTTTTTCGCCTGTTTGTTCGCCTGTTATACGTGTGCATGTAAATGTGTTAAAGACTACTTGACTGAATGTGAAGCAGTACAATATTGTCTCGCAGTCTATTCTCTGTGTTTTCTATGTGATGATATCGGTGGGCACGAATGCAACTTTCTTGAGAAGAACTGAGCAGGTGTTATTTCCTATAAACGATCACATAGTTAATAATGCAAAATCAATCAGGATTTGTAAGGTTTCATCAGCCTTAAACAAGGAAATGGACAATTATAATCCATTAACGAACTACTTAGAACATGAGTACCGGGCAAAACACACAAATAAAAAAATTGTATAGGCCACATGCATATTTTTAGGTCTGAATTTTAATTTTTAATATTCAAAATAATAAGTTAGAGCTGTTAGGAAGGGGCATGATGAAAGCTAAAAATGAAGGTGTGAACCATAGAGACATGAATTGTCAAAGCCTGTTGTTCTTGTCATTTTGCACATTAAGTCTTTTGATATTTCCAGAGCTACTACCTAAATATTATGATTCTCCGTGTATCATATTTGAATGCTTGTCACCGCACAGCAGTGAAATAGCAGTTATTTTCAATTATACGAATGGCATGAACATTCAAAGAGTAAAAGATGCACATACACATAAAGACTTGCAGATGTATACGAATGTTGTTATCTAAGTTGTGCGCTAGCAGAGGAAATAGGCACGAGTGTACAATGTACTTGTTTACGTGTGTAAAAGTGACAGGTTTGTTTTCTACATTTAAGTAACACTAGGATATGGCATTCGGTTTGATGTTTTTTGTATATATCAAACAATTTTGCCACATAACTGTCAGATTCATTTGCATGAATGATGTATAATTACATATAGAATATCATTTATTGATGTGTAAAAAATACAGGTTACCGTTTGACGTTGCTCACACAGTTATGTAGGACAGTTTTCTACATGTATAGTGTGTATATAGCTTTTACTGTTGTCAAATTGTATTTAGAGTTCTGAGCTGTTGCTACTGCTACTGCAGCTGCTTCTGGTAAATACTAGTAGATTGAATAAAATCCATTTGTATGCTGTTATGCTGTGTGGAATAAGGAAGTGTTTCATTTCGTGAGAACGCTTAAGTGTAGGTGTAACGTTAACTATGACGTGGGATATGAAAGAATAGATACATATGACGTTACTTCAAAACAGATTCTCTGGAAGAGGACTTGTACTATCCAAGCAGTAGTTTGGGATTTGTGTTATTTTTGGTGTTTTTCTAAGGCTTTTTTATCGGGGTTTCTTTTTCGCACAGGAATTTTTGTTCACTAGACCCAAAGTTGGGAAACCCCAATAATAAAAGCCTAAAACACGCCAAAAATAACCCCAAACCCAAACCTCTGCTTGGAGAGTAGGGGACATGGCCGTCGCCACGGAAGCACTTTTCACTGCTGACAACTTTTGGCCGACACGGTTGCCCGTTTTGCGTCGTTATTGACAAATCGTCATTCCATTATAAATCATACAAGCACTCCAAGCTGCCAGTATAAGTGTTTACATGCGGCGTGCATTTGTTTGTTATGCTCGCATGATCCTGCGTTTCAAAGTTCAAGTACTTTGTACATTTGTTCGCCAGTTCTCCTTCGCGTCCGGGCCTCTGTGAATTTTGTTTGTCAGCTTCCGTGGACGGTTCTACGCGTAACAAGCAGCTTCCGTTTGCAGGTAGGTCTGCATTTCTTTTCAAACGTTGCGCACATGTATGTATGACTTCAGTCCGCTCTTTGCTAACGTTAAAGTAAGCTAAAAAGTACTCGAAAAGTTAAGATGGAGCAATTTCAGTAGTGGCCAACCATAGAAAGCAATAGCCTCCACCAGGCCTTTCTACGGGAATACGGACCGTAGAATTCCGAAAAAAAAGAGAAAAATTGGCCAGGGAAGTCCGGCCGCGGGAAGGTTGTTTCTTACCCGGCCAGTCAAACCTACAAGGCGACCAAACTCCCCTGGCAAATATTCTATAAATAGCCAGCGTAGTTAGTCTGGTAGAGACTAAAAAAAAAAGTGATTTTTTTTATAGATGGTTTCAAAGGTTCTCTTTGTCTAATAGTCAACCATTTAGATAATGTAGTCTTTTCCCGTCTTTGCTGGCGGCGCTTAATATGTTTTGTCTGCTCGCTTGTTGTTGTTTTTGTTTTCCATGTTTCATGAAACGAAATTATAAGAGGAAGAAGGAATCTTTATTCAACTTGCAGACTTGCATAGCCTGAATTTTGTCGAATTTATAAAGTTAAATTGCCTTAAATTGTACTTTTGTAACATGTTGGTCAGAAGTTCTAATGCCTGGTTTACTATCAACATCGTGAAAAGCCTTCCTTAGTAGCCCAAATTCGCTTCCAAACAAAGTGCAGTGCAGAACTCAGGAGCGAAGGTATACAGGCATTGACAGGAGACGGTAGGTACAAAAAGTACAGAAGAGCAAATGCCGTTGACGTCGGCGGTGAAGGTGGAATAAAGATCGAGAGCACAAGCTGTTTCAGGTGACATGAAAAAAAGTCGACCAAGAAAGATGAAAGGAGAAATACGAAAAAGAGAAAAAATGCACAAACTGTACATGTCAGCAAATTCCCCGGTTCCTGATCCTATCTCTGTTGCCGTGCGACGGTAGCTACAACAAGCGTGCTTTTGTACAAGTGTCATTCTGTACGTGCGCAATATAATGGTGCTACCAATAGCTATCGCACGAGTCAACAGCTACACAATCACACACTAAATTAAAAGGTACACTTTAATATGTTATCCATTGCAAACGTACGTCTTTGAGGTCTCTTACACAGAACCTAATTAAATAAAACTGAAAAAAAGAAGCACTTGTGTTATGCCCGACGTTTTGAGAAACGCTGCGTGATATTGTATTGTACGTAAATGCACGTTTACGGGAAGAAAACTTAGCACGCGGTAACTAGCGTTACGTTACCATGTCTAACATTTTGGCTTTTGTGGAGAGTGATGGTAATATTATGGGTTTCCCGTAGAACATGTCAGAAAAACTTGGAAGTCAGAAATGGTTACAGATTTCCTTCCTAAGATCCGATTGGACATATATCACTATTTCTTGCAGATTCAGGGACAGATTCTGTAAAGTTAATGTTTTCCCTCGTTTATAACTTCATTCTAAAGTTATATTTTCATCTGTTCTATTTTTTTTTAAAGATTTATGAAGGTTCTCCCCAGAAAAAAAAACACCCCTATGCTGGTGGACAATGTATGGGGCTAAATCACAGTGTAGGGGGTAGAAAATCACAGCCTTTGTTTACGGGTGAGACCACGTTTGCGTCTGGTATGTCATTTATTTACGAAGATTTACCACACTTGTGGATTGATTGACATTACAGGTGACTATCACCTCTTCAAAGATGTCAACCTGAGACCAGACTGTAAGGTTTGAACCACTCACACCGGGAAGGTCTCCTACTCTTTTCGATAAGTGTGGTGGGTTCTTTAACGTGCGTGGGGTGTAGCTCTCCCAAGCACGGGACCTCCGTTTAACGTCCTATTCGAGGGACGGCCCTAACCGAAGCTAGGTACTCATTGTGTGAAAGTTGTGTAAAATGCCTTTCCCAAGGGCACAAAATCGGTGACAAGGTGGGTTTCGAACCCGGGACCTCTTGGTTCCGCGCCGAAGACGCTACTGACTGCGCCACACCGCCGCAGTCCAGTCATGTTTGTTGTTGGGTCGCAGTTGTGCCCAGGTGGTCGCTAATTGCGGTTGGATAAGGCTATCATTCATCTTTCCGTCAATACTATAATCTACTCCTACACTTGTCGAGTAATGATTAACCCGCAGAGTGTCACTCAAGAGGCGAAGTTCCATTCTTGATTAAGGGCACCGTCAGCAAAAAGCACCTGGGTGAAGGTCGTCGGGAAGAAAACAAACGTTCTGAACCCTAGCAACCCCGCAGGACGGTCGGAAGTCTTTTTTTTTTTACATCATGATTCACCACAAAACAAGGCTCATGAAAGCCACTCAAATGCTTTGGGTTACTGTACAGTCAGTGAGGACAGATGTTTGTTGACCTTAGACTTGAAAAGTTTAAAGTTATACCCATATGGGAAACAATCACCTGGTAGTTTATTCCATAGTGATGTTGTTCCAGGAAAGAAGCTTTCAGCGTGGAACTTCCTCCTAAGAGGTGGTGTATGGAGGAAGAAAGGGATTTTCACCTGAGTGGTTACTAAGGTTGAGCCATTCTTTTGCCGTTAGCCGACATTTTTAGACAAGTGAGCTTCTTGAATGACTCCAATTATTGTACGTCTTCAGACAAGTGAAAGTGCTTCTTGAGTTCTGAGCAGAAGGTCACAACCCGAGCCGAACCTTTCCGCGAGCCGAGGTGAGCACGACAGTCTCTTTGTTTGTTTGTTTGTTTGAGGGTTTTTTCACCCATTAAAGACGCTTGCTTAGACCATATAAGAGCTTAAGTTCTGGATAGTCTCCGCGTATTCAAGAACGTAGATTTGCACCAGGCACGGTTCTGGATACGCGTGGACTATCCAGAACCGTGCCTGAGCCTGACAAAATTCTGCCCGTTCTTTTGACACCATTGGTTAACATTCTTTTTGTTCAGCCGACATGGAGAAGTACAGGATCCTAGAAGAGTTGGGGCAGGGTGCGTTCGGTAAGGTGTACAAGGCGGAACGTAAGGAGGACGGCAGCGTGCACGCTCTCAAGTGTCTCACCGTGGACTCACTGGAAAAGAGCGAAGTCGTGATAAGGGAGATCCATGCTCTACAGCAGGTAAGAAAGAAACTTTGTTAAAGTAAAGTACCAAGATCCAACACTCAGCTTCACATGTCTTCATATGTACCAAGGACTAGCAGGCTGTGGAACTCCTTACCAGCCTCGGTCTTCCCTGACAGTCCCAATATGACTAAGTTCAAGACTGCTGTAAACAGATTCTTGTTGAATTCAAAAAGATTGTGTGTACGTCCATTTCATGTGTGTTGAAATATTCAGAAAAATACTGATGACTTTAACAACATTTTTTACTAGTTTGTGACCCTGTTAAGGCAAAGGAATTAAGGCTGGCTGGCCGTTACGTTTGATACGTTCTGTTGTTCTTGATGTAAAATACAGGCAGTAGGAAAACACCAGAACATCTTGCAGTTCATTGGCCTGATTGCTGAGGGCGTCGGCTTGCACACCCCTGTACTGAACGTGTGGCTGATCGTGGAGTACTGCGACGGGGGCACCCTGGACAGGTATCTCATCATCATTATTTTTATTTATTTCATTTATTTCATTTTAACACACCTGGGTAGCCCACTCAGCTTTGACAAGTTGATTTTCAGTGGGGCCCAGTTTACAGAAATAAAATAAAAAAACATAAGTTAATACTTAAACAGAAATAATAGAGAATTGTATGTAAAACATAAATAACGCAGGTAACCAAATTATACAAAATAGATACATTATCCACTGTGTTCTGCGTCTACAGTCGTATGGAAATGTCCTGTATTCGCATTCAGTCTTTCTTCATCTCTTATCACCGTGTCTTCTGCTTCGTGAGCTCTCTAAGCTCCTTGAGTTTCTTTTCTGTTGTGGGAGGGCCTAGCCCTCCGCGCTTCAGGTCTCCCTTCAGCATGCTGAGCGGGTTGATACAGTGTCTCCCTTTGAGAGCTTTGTATCTGCTGGAGCTAAGGAATGAAAGTTCCAGAGCTTTTTGTGCAGGTGTGCCTTGTGGTATTATGAGAATATGTCCCAACAAAGACCACCAGGTATGCTGCAGCTTTCTCTCATGATAGCCTCCATCAGGCCTTCCTAAGGGGCATAGCAAAATTCGGGTCGTCTGAGCGTTCGGCTCGGAACCAAGAGGTCTCGAGTTCGAATTCTGCCATGCCACCGATCTTGTGCCCTTGGGAAAGGCACTTAACACGACTTTCCTCACTTCACTCAGGTTGAAATGAGTATGTCTGTTGTCCGTTCATGCGTTTGTGTGCGTTGTTCGCGGAATAAAAATTGAGTGCGGTGCCGCCATATATACATGTCCTGTAATAAATGTTTGAATAGAAATAAAATTCGGCAAAATAGGTTCCACCGTTATGGTTTCATTTCCCCCTCATGGGCAAATGAACTATAGAGTGACCAAACGTGGGGTCGTGTGGCGCAGCGGTAGCGCGTTCGGCTCGGGACCTGGAGGTCCAGGGTTCGATCCCCACCCATGTCACCGATCTTGTGCCCTTGGGAAAGGTACTTTACACGACTTTCCTCACTTCACTCAGGTGTAAATAAGTACCTAGCTTCGATTAGGGACGTCCCTCGGATAGGACGTAAAGTGGAGGTCCCGTGTTTGAGGAGAGCCACACCCCAAGCACGTTAAATATCCCACCACACCTTTCGAAAAAGAGTAGGGGCATGCCCTGGTGTGCGATGGTCCAAATTCTACAGCCCAAATACTACAGTGTAGCAGAATCATCAGCAAGTTGATGTTGGCTACCTTAACCCCAAAGACAAAAAAAAACCTCCCCTGACCAATTATTCTCGCTGTTTAGCTAATGTTTACTGTTTTGAACCTGTGTCGGTAGTCTGGCAGGGTGGCTAAGCTTTGTCACGTACGGTACACTAAATATTTAACAAGATCTGTTTCTTTCTTTGCACTGGTCCCCCTTGGAGGTAGAGGTTAGGTTAATGATTATAAGATCAAAAGCACTGACTGTGTATATGTCACCAAGACGCTATATATAGACAGGAACATATCCTTTCCCCGGAACTCAATCAGAAAAAAAAGTACAGCACCTTTTCCCCCAAAGTAATGTACTGGTTAAGTAATGTACTGGTACATTACTTGAGAATAGGTAAGTTTACAGCTTAAAGAATCAAGTTTAGTGTACAAAGTCCCAGGGCGGAGGACTTATTTACTCTGCCACCAAGTACAGTAGGGGCACCCTCACTAGCTAGTTTGCAGTTAAGCGACGGTCACAACTCGCCGTACGTGCTTCTGCGTGCTGTCTACGTGCAAAAACGTGGGCAATCGTACGGCATCCGTGCGTGGTGAGTACCACCTCCGTACGGAATCCTACGGATTTGGGAGCACGCAGACACGCCGTAGAACTTTAAGTGCATGTAATACTTTTTCTACGTGCGGTCTGCGGATTTACCACCCGTGCGTGCGAGTGCGTGCGACGCGCGTGCCCCGTACAGCCTATGAGCGTGCAGCGTACGGACTCCGTGAGTCTAACTTCACTATTCTCACGTGCAATTGCTGTACGGACAGCGCACGAAGCATGTGCGTGCCACGCACGGTGCTTGCGTCATCCGTGCTTACTCCTCACTTCCCAGTTGACCTGCTCAATGACCACGCAGAACACACGTGCACCATACCAGGTGCTCCGCACGTGCAACGCACGTGCAACGCACCTGATTTCTACAGTATATAAAGACGACTTGACCGGCGACTGCCAACTCGTCTCCAAGATGCCCAGGAAGGCTCAGAAGAAGACTACCAGACAAGACCCAAAGAAACGGGCCGCGGAAGACACCAGGGCGGCTAGTGATTATGAAGTTAACAGGAGGTGCACGCACTTACAACGTGCGAGTGAGTAAGGAAACCGTGCGTACGCCGCACGTGTAGGTACGGCCTGTACGCGGCAACGTAGCAATCGCACAGAGATCGTGCGTTGTAAGCACGTACAACTCACTTACCACTTTCGCAACGTACGATGCACGCAACCGCTGACGGCCAGGCGTGTCGTGCAGACCACGTACGTACACCTTGCGCAACCGTGCGAGTGACGTACTCCCTCGGCCGGCCACCCTACGTTTGCAGAAAAAACGTAGCAGACGTAGCCACGACAAAAACGTACGGACAAAAAGCACGCACGGCGAGTTGTGACCGAGGCTTTAGATGTGCAAAGGTTAGGCGTAACAGGTCTTTCAGTGTAACATAACCAGCTGCCGCAGCGCCGCGTGCCTACGAAGCTGTTGTGTTACGCTTAGATTCAGAAATTATACTTTCCATATAAGTTCTACGGACAAGCCGTGTCACAAATGACGCAATAGATGTAGTGAAAGAAGTGGGCACGAAAAGGTAAAATACTTCCAATGCCTTTATATTCCCATGGAACAGCTTCATCCTCAAAGACAAGCCTAGCCGAGCGACCGTTCTGCAGTTATTGTGCCAAGCGGCAGAGGGCGTCGCTTACCTGCACGGCAGGAACGTCGTACACGGAGCGCTCAAGCCTGACAACATCTTGGTGGACAACTCCGGACAGAGACCAGTTGTTAAGGTGATAAGTCATGATTTATCATACTGTGAAAGTGAAAGTGATCTCGATCCAGTTTAGCTCATTGAAGAGCTAATCTCCCACTGGTCGTGACAGAGGAGACAGACGCTATGTACAGTATTTCCGTTACATTGTACCGGGGAAATTCCCCTAGCTCTTTTCGACAAGCACAATGAACAGAGGACCACGGTTAACACCCCGTCCGAAGGACTGCGACCCTAAACAGTAGCGGGCATGTCGGGTGAGCGACATCAGCCGGGATTCGAACTCCCAACCTCTTAGTCCAGAGGCAGGATCGCTAACCACTGGACTATGCACGCTATACGCTATACTGTCAGTCTGCACATGGTATTAAGCTGTTTACCAAGCTAGGTTAGCCACCGGGAGGCCCATATTTAACTAACCTTGACCTTTCTCTTCCTACGACCTACCAACATACCAGATATCATCACAATCCATGAAGGCGTTCTGACTACAAATGTGCGGAAACACAGACAGACACACAGACAGACACACAAAAAACAATACCTCCATTTTTCATGGAGGTAATAGCCATTCATTCTACACCTCCACCACATCGTTCTCATTGCACTGTATTCCTTCAAAGTGCACTGTATAGTCTGCTAATATCTGTTGAGCTCAACAAGTCAATTTCGTGGACTTCAAAGTTGTATCCTTCTTCCCTCAGGTTGCAGATTTCGGCGTCGTGTGTGCCCGTGCACTGGGCGAGTGGGGAGACAACTACGCACAGACCATGATAATGTACCTGTCCCCTGAACTGCTCCTAAATATTGTGGGTAAGGCATGTACAGATGACTTGCAATTGTCTTCAGTGATTTCGTCAAAATCGTCATCATCTTGACGAGCTAGTTGCTCGCGTGCTCCTCACTCTCCCGATCCTTCAGAGCTCTGAGTAGGTTTTGTATATTGAAATACCTTTATTGTACATTCATGCCAGGGCGGGCTAGGTACAGGTCAAGATATAACAGACACATAACAAACGTATGTAGAAAAGTGTAGACAAAGGGTACACTACTTGACTTGACTAGGATACTATAATAGGCTAATACAAAGTGTTCTAGTAATACTGAGCTGAGGTCAACTTCTCGCTTTTTTGTACAATGGAAAATTTGGGAACAGATCATGTTTGTAATACAGGGTTTGTCTAGACGCATCAAAAATTAAAAAATATAAATTGGTCGCTTGCATTTAGGTGTTCAAAGTATGGGAACTTCTCTTTGATATGATTAAAAAGGACAGATCTTTCATTAGAATATAAAGTACAGTCTGAAATAAAGTGTTGTTCATCTTCTATTCTATTCATGTTACAGTATTGACAGAGTCTGTTCTGGAGATAATCCACAGGGCGTACCCTCATAGCTAGGAATGGACGTTTTTGAACAGAGTAGAGTGGAGTAGAGTAGAAGGATCTCTTCCAATTGAGACCGCCCATCCAATTAATGAACGGTCATTCCTGACTTGTGCGGACAATCCAAGGCCTTGAAGTCTTATACCACAGAGAAGTAGTTTGTTCTTCTTCTTCTTCACTCATCCTCATCTGAGGTGCAGCTTGAGAAGTTCTGTCTCCAATACAGTCTGTCATTCATTTCGGACCGAAGTTCCAATCCTTAAAGTCCAGTTTTAGACTCAATGAGACCCTTAAGTGTTGTGATTGTAGTTTGTAGTTTTTCAAGTACTTTCTTAGGCAACACCATGTGAAGGTAAACATTATGCATTGGCTTTGGCTTTGCAGATGTTACCTTTCTAGTTTTATGTTTCAAGTATCTATTGCTTCAAACAGCACAACGAGACCTCTTGACGACCACCACCGAGGCTGATGTCTTCGCCTTGGGCCTGATCATCGCCGCCATCTTGGGTCAGATGACAGATTCAGCCGCCCCATCGACAGATCCCGCAGATCCAGGGACAGATCCCGCGACAGATCCAGCCGCCCCAGGAAAGCTTGTGCCTGCCGTGTACGTGGAGGGAAAGCTTACGGCCGTGGCCAAGGTCATGATCACACATCCTGAGTTCCCGGTGGCAGACATGCTGATGACCAGCGAACCACAGGGGTCTCCGGTAAAGGTACGCGAATACAGATACAGATATGGCAAAAAGCAGTTACTCAAGCAACTGGATATGATTTTGGAAACGGTCAGATGTTTCGGGTAGCATCCACTACCTTTCGTCAGTGACACTGTTAGTTTCCAAAATCATATCCAGTTGCTTGAGATACTGCTTTTTGGCGTATCTTATTACCTGAATGTCTAACCTTCATCGACGTAACAGATACAGATACATCACACAACAATCAGTTAGCGCATATTCAGGCTGTGAAAAAATGTTGGCATTTGTCGTACACTGACTGACTCTGTATCCCCCCAGGCCCTGGTTGTATCCATGTTGGGAGTTTATCCTCACCAGAGACCGACATCAGAACAGGTTCTCGGCAGACTGAGGCAGATCACGGGCTCTTCTGGCGGGTGAGTCCCGTCTGGGCATCTTGTATCTTCTTCTTTTTTTTAAATCCAATATTACATGACTAGACATTGTGACGGCACGCTCAAGTTATATCAACTTATTTTATGCCGTCAACAACACAGAGTACAAATACAGTACAGTACGATACTCATTTTCACTTGAGTAAAGTGAGGAAAGCCGTGTAAAGTGCCTTTCCCAAGGGCACAAGATCGGTGGCATGCCAGGACTCGAACCCGGGACCTCTTGGTTCCGAGTCGAGCACTCTGCCGTTACGCAACACATCACGTCTTCGCCGTTGATGAGTGGAGTTACCCACGTCTGCTGTTTTATCCAGAACTGTGCCTATCTAGTCCTATGTCTGAATGGGTTAGGGTTATGGATCAGGCACGGTTCTGGATAGTCTCTGGGTATTCAAGAACGTAGATTTGCCCCAGGTACGGTTCTGGATACCCGTGAATTGTCCAGAATCGTACCTGAGCATGGTTCTTAGAAAGCACAGTTCTGGATATTCTTGCATTGGACTGTCAAGAATCGTGCCTGAGCACGGATCTGGTTAAAGCGCTGTTCTTGATACAAAGTCACTAGCTATGTTGCCACCAGCTTGTGTCCACAGCAGGTGTTGCAGAAAACTAGCATTTGAAAACAAAAATTAAACATGTATAACTTTAACCGGAAATTGCGAAAACTGTCAGACAATCATGTTTTCTGAGACTAGGTGGTAATTATATAGGAAGTAGAAAAAAAGGCTTCGTGCCAAATGTTTTGCCATCTTCAATCACTTGTAAGCTTTAACGGTTTCTGATTAAATAGATCTTTGCTAATGATGAGGTTCTTGTTAAATAAATCTTGCAGGGTTGTTGTATCGCAGCCCACTCCACGATCACACACGGTGGTCCAGGTACCGAGTGAAAATGCACGCCGGCAAACTGATGATTTGTGCCGAGACCCTGAGTCGTGCCCTGATTGGTAATTATAACTTTGTTTGTTTGTTTGTTTGTTTGTTTGTTTATTAGCATATAATCGAAGTAGTAAAATAACACAAGGTAGCATAGTTTACAACTGGGGCTCGGTACACTAGAAGACATGGCTGCTGCAGCACAAACAGAAGTACCCGGAGAAGCACCATCCAAACTGTCGACCGATGAAACAATAGTTACTCAATCACTCAATCACCTACTTAATATCCTAAAAAAACGTTATTTAAGTTTTTGTTTTGTTTCTTCTTCTTCTCCAGACAAATAAGGTTAATGACCTGGACTGTCACCAACTGGTGCTGTAGCAGGCACCCTGTGGTGTTGAGTTTCATTATGTAGCAAAGTGGCAGGATAGAGATGGAGGGGCTGGTCTCCATCTAGTATATATGTTTGTGGAGATAAATAGAGCAGTAGTTTGTTAGGTTAGAGCATGTAAAAGTAACCGTTATGTATTTTCTAGTTACCTCCATGAAATGTGTCATGGAGGTTATATTTTCAGTTGCGTTTATCCGTCCGTCCTTCTGTCTGTCTGTTGGTCAACAAGATAACTCAAGAACGCCTGGATGGATTGGTTTCATACTTGGTGTGTTGGTAGGGTGTGACAAAAACTGGAAATGATGAGATTTTGGTCCCCCTAGTGGCTTCCCTTGGTACTGCAGCGCAGCTTCCGGTTTTGATATCTCGCGATCTGGACATGCTAGGGTCATGAAATTTTGATGGAAGGTAGCTCTCGTGCTTGGGAAGAAGTCATATGAGTTCGGGCCCCCTAGCGGCTTGTTCTGGAACTGCAGGGCACTTTCTGGCGAAATGTTTAAAAGCCAATAAGTCCAGACAGGAACAACATATTTTCATTATTTTTGGTGTGTAGGTAGCTGAGAGAGATGTACATAATTAAATGTAAATTATGCAAATGAGGACTTTATTTGCATAATTAATGAGGAAATTCTATAATTACAGTGTTTTACATTATACTATGTAACCTAGGGAAGGCGGAACTTCAACAGATACTAATTATGCAAATGATGACCTAATTTGCATAATTAATGTGAAAATTCTATGATTTCGTAATGGTGAATGATGAGAATGTCATACTTGGGACATCTGTAAGTTAATCAAAAGATAACATACATCACGATGCATATATCATGTTAATGCAGAGGTCATTTGAACAATTAAAGAAGAAATTTACATTTACATATCAAGATCATATTTCATGGAGGTATGAGATCTCGGAATTCTAGTTACAATCATATAATGATCGCCAATTCTTCATTCTAAACGTCCACAGTGTTGTCTGCTGCTGTGTGTGCTGCTGTCGGTGCGAGTCGAGTACCGAGTGGTACAACCCAGATGGGAAAGGCGTCTGTTGGGCGCTCCTGTTAATGCTCATGTGGCTCATTGGATGCGTGATAGTTTTGGCGCTCTGGTTTTTCAGCGGTGGCAAGATTTTCCGCCTATGTTCTGAAAAGCAGCAAAACCGCTGAAGATAGTAACGTTAACGTGTGGCAGCCTCCTGTGATGACTTTTTTTAGCGGCCTGCGTTTGTTTATTCTAACGTTACAATATGGCCCCGTTCACATTCAAAAAATGGATCCGGATTGATCGTCGATCCCGATCGAAATTCGTCAATCCGGATCGTTTTTTTTTTTTGCAGTGTAAACGCTCCAATCCAGATTGATTTTCTCCGATTCGGATCCAAAAGTAATCCACCTCGATGAGGTACTTCAATAATATATATATGAGCGCAGCGGTTTCAGGCGCTCGAAGTGCCCGTGGATCGAACACGGTTCTAAAATTCGAATACCCCCCGCTGGGTCCAGGCCGCGTTCCAAGCCGATTTCGAACGTGGTTCCAAAATTCGAAACGGGTTCTAAAGTTCGATTTGGGGCTTAAAAATGCAACTTTTTTTTTCACCCATTGGCCTATACCCACCACACAACTCTCTCAGCGAGGGAAACGCTGAACGTATGCCACTGGAAAAGTTTGTTCTGGATGCAAAGTAATACTAAGAGTGTGGTCTGTCGTCCTACGAAGGATGTTGTGTACTGGTTGGGTGTCGTGTTAACGTTATGATCATTGTTTTGTCAATTACCTTCGAATGCAATTGTTTTTAGAATTTTTAGATTGATAAAAAGACGCGTTTATAACAAAGCATCGTCTGTACAGAGCTATCGTTAACAAATAATCTCTTTGTACCTCTTTTTTTTTTACTTTACTCCTCATAATATACATAACATTAACGTTACATACTCTGTATATTGAAAGCCGTGTGTTGAACCGAATTTTGTACTCTTTTTAACATGTTATGTTACATACCTGAAATGATTAAATAAATGTGTTTGTAAAACAACAGTCAACGAAAACCTCACATTTTGTTTTTTTTTTATTGTTATTGTAATGACATGCCTGAAATCGAATATTGTTATTCCAATGACATTGATGGCAGCCAGATAGTGTGCTATAAAAGTTTTAAATTTAAACACAGAAAAACTGAATAAAACTAATAATGACCACTATTTTGTAGGTTCTTGATATGATGTGACTTGTTTATTTTCATAAACATGTGCTACAGCTTGAACAGGAAAGGTATCGCTCCAGCTCTTACTCTTGCATTGGCTGTCTAGAGCTAATAACGTTACCTATTGGGCGCGAGGTTCCGTAAAATTAAAAAAAAATGAACCTTCTAAAATGGCATTTGGTGCATTTTTGAGAGGATTTCAAAGAAAAAAATCAGAGATAGATTTTTATTCAATGACAAAGGGAGCAGTTTTTCTACGATTCCAGTCTATCTTTTCAAGAAAAAGCTTGGACCTTAACATAAAAAGTGGACCAAAAAGTGGACCTTTACATAAAAAGTGGGCCAAAAAGTGGACCTTTGAGCCCTGTGGGGGGGTTCTTCCGAACCCCCCGAACCCCCCTGGCTACGGGCATGAATAGGCCAGGAAAAAGAAAGTAGACTCAACTACAGCAACTTCAAAAACTGCGTTGCTGGAGAACGTGTTCTAGTACAGCCAAAACAAATGGCTGGGCAGGTGCCCTTCAAATTTGAAATGTTGGGTCCTGTAAATAGCAAATGGGCTCAGATTGTAGCTTTCAGAAACAATAAACACAACAAGACTGGCAATGAAAACATATTACATTGCCATGGTGACGGTGGTTGCTGTTAGGGTTATTGTTTGGCACTGTCATCATTTCATGATTTTGAGGAAGCCTTCGTACCTGTTAAGTCTAGACAGATACAGTACACTCCTCCCCTGAGTGTATAGTGAACGGGCCCCGGGGCACAGAAAGTAGGGCCATCTGGGGCAGACAGATCTTCAGGGCTCCAGGAATGTGGGCATAGATGTGGGTCAGAGAAATGCCTGTGGACATTCCGCATGCCCGTGGACAAAATGCCTGTACCATTCCTAGAATTCTTGCGAATTGCACACAATACTCATTAGGCTCCTCCCTGAGACGTCGCCAAAAAACATTATACTTTTCTTGAAAGTATAATACAGTGTTTCATGTGAGCAGAAATGATAGAGCAAGGCTTTATTTAACACACATAATTGATTGATCATCAGATAGTTATTTGAGCATGCTATTAAACGCCACAGGCGCCAAATGTTATGCAATCAACAGACATACACAGCGTTGACTTTGTGAGGTAGGCCATCCCGTGCAGTACTACCACCTAGCGGCTGACGAATGAACTGCAACAATAGAAACTGTCATGGCGGAATCTCCCAGCAGTGGAGACGAACTTCCAGCCCGATCCCAAACAGTTTCGGCGCTGTTTCCCGTAGCGGGGGCAGAAAAAACAGTTCCTACAGAAGGAAAAGGAGGTCTCTTCGCTGCGTATCAACCTGAACAGGCGCTGCCGTCTTCAACCGCTGGACGTGAGTCTCGATATATATTAAACAGGCTGGGTGGGGAGGGGGGCGGTACTACATTTTCTACTAGCAACCTTTTTGCTTGCATGTACGATATTGCTTTTGATTTTGTCGTTTCTATCATTGGAACCTCCTTGGTTTATGAAAGGAAGAAGTAAAAAAATTTCTTCCTAATCCAAGTTCATGGTGAAGGCATCCTTCCATCTCAAGAGTTTGTGGCATGTTGACAATATGCTCTTAAGTAAAACAACAGCTTCTCTAAGAAAGACCATGGATGATCTCTGCTGTGCTGATGATAGTGAAGAATTATATATACAAGACTTTTTGCTGTAATGTTGTAATCGACTTCAAGGTTATAATATTAGGATATAAAACAGATCTGCCCAATCCCTCTGTGGAAATTAAGTACACAAACCTAGCAATCACTATCGCAAAATATGTTATATTTCGAAGTTGGCTGGAAAAGGACACATATGATGGGATTGCGATAGCTAATATGTTTAAAACAGAATTCTCTTCGTATAAATAGGGTTGTCTGTTTTCTTTTATATATAATGTACACGTATTGTTGTCCTTTTACAATGTTACAATGTACATGTAAATGTTGTGTGAATAAAGGATCTTAAAAAAAAAAATTAAAAAAAAAAAAAAATCTCTGCTGTGCTATTACATTCCAAGCCAATCTTGACGACAATAAACTTCTTCAGAAAATGTGCAGAGAACAGCATATTAGTAACAGAGACTGTCTTATCAAAATGTAACAGTAGAACTAGTGCTGCATACCGGTTCACTGGACTTGGATCCGGACTTGTAAGAATGGTTAGGTTCAAGTCCAAAAAAACCTAAAAGTCAAGAACCGAGTCCGGACTTATTACCATAAAAGACCATTTCACATACCCCTTTTCTTTCCAAACCACCTAAAACCTTCCGTAGATTGCAAAATCTTTGCTGCAAAATGAAGAAAACATTGCCATCGGGCATCGTCAAGTACCAGCCTCCATGTTATGTGGCCAAAGTTTCACCCAGACAACATTGCAAGGTTGCCAACATGCAATTTTGTATATGTCATGGGTTTAGGTCCGAACTTGCAAGTCCGGAACTGAACCTAAACCTCTGGACTTGAATCCGGACCTGAACCTAAAATTGAGTTCAGGTATGCATCACTAAGTAGAACTCGTTATCCATATTACAGTCCAACCACAAACCCTCTATGCAAATCTGTTCTGTGCAGCTTTATCTTTTATATAGAAGGACCATGTTTTCTTGTCTGTGCCCATGCCCCAGGTCTGGACTGGTTGGAGAACACAAGTTTCCCCCAGGAACATGTGGCAGAGTTATGGAAGCTGCAGGGCCAGAGGTCAGCTGAAGACACCAGGTGGGTTCAATATCATCATGTTTTTCAACCTCCATCATTATCATGTAACGTTACCATACCATAATCTACTTAATTGCACAACTGTTACTTTCAAAATAATGTTTTATTTACTTCTAGGTAACTCCTTCAGCTAAATTAGCCAAACCAGAGTCTTGATGTTACTTCCTGCAAGAGTTAGACAGGGTAAGGAGGTTTAAAAGTCCTCCTTGGACAGTTCAAGTATAGCCTTTCATGTGATTGTCGTTCTTATCATTGTGGCACTGAATGGCAGAGTGGTGAGTCTGGCAGACATGGGATCGAGTGGTCACTGGTTTGACTCCTGCAGCCTGGAAAGGTTATTTGTTTGTGCCTTTATTTATACTTGATATGTATAACGTGTTATATAGTTACCCATTCGGCCATTAAGACCGTTTGTTATAGGGGTCTAGTGTCGTTCGTCCGTCAGGTTGATGAGGACTAGTACAGAGGTTTTGGCAAGCACATCGGCAGAACGTACTGCGCCTGCGCAGAACCCTGATTTTTAGCGGTTTTCGTTGGATGTTTGGTATCAACGTTGCATCAGAATTTTGTCTGTTGCAGAAAATATCTTTTCCGACATAACATTTGGAAACTACAGACAGAGTGTTAACCTTATATGCACAAATATGACCTTATATGAGACGTTCTGCGTGCTGCTTTGGCGCTACCTTAACCTTGTTACTGTCACCTTCTCAGGTCCTCCAGTAGCGAGACTGAGGACAGTGGAGATGACGACGAGCCTCAACTCCTGAAGACAGTCAAAACCAAGCCTCAGGGCAGCAGCAGCCCCAGCAGTGAGGAGGAGGAGGATGGGAGGACGGGCAAGGCCAGTTACCATGGCAACAGCTACCGTGGCAACAGTTACCATGAAAACAGGAGTAACCATGGCAACCGGAGGACTGCGAATGACAGCAGCAGAAGGCGAAACGGAGACTCGGAGGAAGAGGATTCAGAGGGCAGGTCACGTCGGCACAAGAAATCCAGACATAAACATAGGCACAGACATCACAAACACAAGCACAAACACAAGAAGCACAAGTCGAGCTCCAGGGACAAAGATTCATCAGAGAAAACTGCAGTTTCTGGTGATAAAGAGTGAGTTAAGCTTTATGTTATGATATAAAGTATAAACATGGTAGACACATTATGGTGTGTAACATTATTTCAGTAAAGGTATGATAATTAAGGTTAAACCCATACAGTCTGAGTAGATTATGTCGCAGTGCAACTGCAGGATGATGCTATGATGAATGGGACAGGAAAACTATGTGCAGAGCATGTCACAAGTAGCCTGTGTGCTACCCGGGTATCTGTGTTGTAACGGGGCTTCTTGCATTCGCTTCTGTTCGGGTCAGCCATTGCAAGGGTCCCCATTACAAAACGGATGCAGGCTATGTCAAGAGTACATCGCACAGCGATAAGTGTTTATTTTTTGTAACCTATTTCAGGCCTGTAAAGACGACCACTAGTTCTCCCTTGGCTGCCTCCGCCATCTTTATTGAGGATGCCGGCCTGAAGCCGGAGGTTGCCTTCCGGTTGGACAAGAGGCCGGACAGGGAGAACCTGGCGTACGGCTCGCTGTACCGCCTGCAGCTGGCGAACTACCGGCGGCTCGGGCAGTCGTGTCTGGGCCTGGGGAGGGGGCAGGCGGTAAAATGGAGCGAAAAGTCTGGAAAGGCGGGCAGGAAGAGAAAGCGAGAACACGACACGCGATACTGCAGCGAGAGGGAAGCGGGAAGAGTACTGAACGACAAGGTATCCTCCTCTCCTATCCCCTACTGGTACATCTGTTAAACGAGTGATTACCCTATTGAACCAAGGAGCTTTCATGCTTGAACTGACAACTTGTAATGTATTCACAGTAAGACACAATGTATTTGTTTTATATGTACATGTATATGTGCATCGATGCACTGGCGCATGCTTTTCTAGAACATGAAACTGTTTTTATGATAAATGCATTTTAATGTCAACAATTGATAATGTTTGTATAGCTTTATATGCAAAGTTTCAAAAGTACTTGTAAATCCAACAAAATTCAGACTAATTTTAATTCGGTATGTAAGTCTGCGGTTGAATAACGTCTCACTCATAAATTCATCCATTCAAGGTAACGAGAGTGGAGGTGGTAAACAGGACCGGCCAGGGGAAACCTCAGCCTGGGGGTCAGAGTTCACACTACATCCCTCTGGATAGGTCATCAGAAGGGGTCAAAGGTTCTAGGGTAGGGATCAAAGGTCAGCCTGCCTACGCCGCGCCCACACAGGTGTACATCCGAGGACAGGTCTGGGCAGGTGAGACTCCAGCCAAGCAGGAACAGGGGGGAGCGGAGGAGGAACAGGTGGGGAATTTTAAAATGTTATTAGGCCACACCAATTCAATTTGTTGGTTCTCGGATTCGCCTCTTCATTTTTTTGATTTCCAAAAAAAAAAAAAGATTCTGGTTCTGAATCAATTCAAATTTGCTCATATTTTGCCCCCCAACAGTTGCATGAAATGAATGTCACATTGTCATTATCCTTTGTGTTGATAACAAAAAACAACAGGAGGATAAGGAGGGAGAGACGTCAGAAGAAAGTATCTGCAGGCTCACAACTGAGTACAACCGGATACTCAGGGAAAACCCACACAACGTGCAGACGTGGTTGGACTTTGTCGACTTCCAGGTACCATTTCTTGTGTGTTATATTGTGAAATAGGAAAGATAAGATTAGTGCTCTTCGGTAAAAAGCCTTATGCCAACAGTTTGTAAATTGTAAAAAGTAAGCAGTTCAGCCTATGGCTGTGATGTACATTCGTTCGTTCGTTCGTTCGTTTGTTCGTTTGTTCGTTCGTTCCTTCATTCCTTCCTTCATTCCTTCCTTCATTCCTTCATTCATTCCTTCCTTCATTCATTCCTTCCTTCATTCCCTTCATTCATTCCTTCATTCATTCCTTCATTTCTTCATTCATTCATTCATTCATTCATTCATTCATTCATTCATTCCTTCCTTCATTCATTCATTCATTCATTCATTCATTCATTCATTCATTCATTCATTCATTCATTCCAGGACAGAGTGATGCAGCACGGACCTGTGACAGCGTTCTCAGAATCAGAGCGGGAGAAACGTAAGAAGACTTCGTTAGCGTTGATGGAGAAGAAGGTGGCCATCTTGGAGCGAGCGATCAAGGCGAACCCTTCTAACCCAAGATTGACACTTCAGCATCTCAAGTTGTGCAGGGAATTCTGGGACAACAAGAAGCTGACCAACCGGTGGAAAGAGTTTGCGTTCAAATTTCCAAACGACCCGTCAGTGTTGCGGGAATACCTGCTGTTTTCCCAGTCTCACTTCGGCACATTCACGACGTCCAAGGTGCACAGTTTGTACGGGAAGTGCATCAGCAGACTGAGAGCCATTCTAGATGGAACGTTCAAGTCCCACAGGCCTCTACCTCACACAGAGGAACAGTTGCTGGGTAAGGGGATAATACTCCTTTTCTTTCCTCTGATTTGCGGTAATGTTGCCAGTTTTGACTCACCTCGTACATGCACATGTAGTTGTATTTTATTTCGCAGAAGAAAAACATACATACATGTACTGTTTTTTCTCCATTCTACCTTCCTCTTCTTCCTTTCCAAAACAAATGCATTGTAAGGTTAATGACCTGGACCAGACAGCTGTCACCATGGTTACTGGTGCTGTAACCGACATCGTGTGGTGCTGGGTTACATTATGTAGCAATTGGCATGACAGAGTTGGAGGGGCTCACCAGGCACCAAAGCTAGACTGTGTGAAGCTTTACATTTTGCACAGCTTTGCAAATGTTACCTTTCTACTTCTATCTTGAAAGTTCATCTGTGTTGGTAGAAGTCATTATGAAACAAGTTTAAACACAAGAGATTGGACTTACCCAAATTTTCGACTGTACAACTCCAGTCTTTGTCAAGGAATGAACAATCCACTGCTTCCATGACGTCACGCAGATAACACACGTGACTCCGTGAGCAGTGGATCATAGGTTGCAGAAAGTCTGTGGCGCCCCCGTCTCTGTTGAGGGATGGCTGTAAAGCCCTGATGTAGATGGCCTCTTTAATCCCCCTTTAATTTCTACTTCTAGTTTGTCCTGACTATTTGTTTCTTTATTTGACTGTTTATTTCTTTCAAAGCTGTTTATTTATTTCAAAGCTGTGTCCCTACTACTATTTGTTTATTCATTTCAGAGCTGTTTGTTCAGCAGTGCCACTTCCTGAAGCAGGCCGGGCATGTGGAGAAGGCCATGTCCTCCTACCAGGCACTGGTTGAGTTCACCTGCTTCCGCCCTGCCTCCGTGGCAGAAAACACACCTGTGGCTGGACAGGTACAGCAAAAGAGTTAAAACTTACATGTACTTTAAGATCCAACACAAAGAAGTTCTCTCAAAGAAGACCAGGGTGACTGATCGAAAGCTCTAGGTGAGAGAACTTCTTTGTGTTGGATCTGAAGTTTTGAATATTTAACTACCAACATAAACAAAGATCTTGAGTGATTGCCATAGATTGTGTCTACCCTTCTGTAGGTTGTACTAAATAACAAGCTGTGTGTACCTATGCCGTAGGTTGAGTTCTTTGAGCCGTTTTGGGACAGCAACGCAGCGAGGGTTGGCGAGGAAGGCGCCCGGGGCTGGGGGGCGTGGCAGGAGAGAAAGGAGAAGGGAGGGTGGGAGATGGACGTAACAGCAGGTTTGTTTGTTGGTTTGTTTTTGTGTTTGTTTGTTTGTTTGTTTGTTTGTTGGGGAGGATGTAACCCGGGGCTGGGGGGCGTGGCATTAGAGGAGATAGAAGGGAGGATGGGAGATGGACGTAGCAGTATCACCAGTAGTAGTAGCAGTAGTAGTAATAGTAGTAGTAGCAGAAGTAGTAGTAGTAGTAGTAGTAGTAGTAGTAGTAGTAGTAGCAGTATCAGTAGTAGTAATAGTAGTAGTAGCAGAAGTAGTAGCAGCAGTAGCAGCAGTAGTAGTAGTAGTAGTAGCAGCAGTAGTAGTAGTAGTAGTAGCAGCAGCAGTAGTAGTAGTAGTAGCAGCAGCAGTAGTAGTAGTAGTAGTAGCAACAGTAGCAGTAGTAGTAGTTGTAGTAGCAGCAGTAGTAGTAGTAGTAGTAGCAGCAGTAGCAGTAGTAGTAGTAGTAGCAGTAGTAGTAGTAGTAGTAGTAGCAACAGTAGCAGTAGTAGTAGTTGTAGTAGTAGCAGTAGCAGCAGTAGTATTAGCAGCAGTAGTAGTAGTAGTAGTAGCAGCAGCAGTAGTAGTAGTAGTAGTTGTAGTAGTAGCAGCAGTAGTAGTAGTAGTAGCAGCAGTAGTAGTAGTAGTAGTAGTTGTAGTAGTAGTAGTAGCAGCAGTAGTAGTAGTAGTAGTAGCAGCAGTAGTAGTAGTAGTAGCAACAGTAGCAGTAGTAGTAGTAGTAGTAGTAGTAGCAACAGTAGCAGTAGTAGTAGTTGTAGTAGTAGCAGTAGCAGCAGTAGTAGTAGTAGTAGTAGTAGCAGTAGTAGTAGTAGTAGTAGCAGTAGTAGTAGTAGTAGCAACAGTAGCAGTAGTAGTAGTTGTAGTAGTAGCAGCAGCAGTAGTAATAGTAGTAGTAGTAGTAGCAGTTGTAGTAGTAGTAGTAGCAGTAGTAGTAGTAGTAGTAGCAACAGTAGCAGTAGTAGTAGTTGTAGTAGTAGCAGCAGCAGTAGTAATAGTAGTAGTAGTACATGTAGAAGCAGTTGAAGTAGCAGTGGCAATGGCAGTAGTGGCAGTATAGAAGTAAGCATCCCATCTCAGAGTACTCAGTTAGTACACCACATTTCTCTGTCTAGATGATGATGTGGAGGATGCAGATGAGGAGGAAGAGGAGGTGGTGAGCCAGTCAGCATCCAGGAGTCGGGCCTGGCTCGACATCGAGAGCGGACGGGAACAGGTGCACTGGTTGCCATGGAGACCCGACACCAAGGTTTGTCATGTTTACCTTCACAAAAGGAAAGCATATTGTTTCTATATTTTTCCAAGCAAATAAGGTCGATGACCTGAACCAGATGTCTGTCACCATGGTAACTGGTGTTGGGTTACATCATGAAACAATTTTATAGCAGGGGGATTTAGACCACCACATTAACAGAGCAGACCATTTGCTTTTGCATTTGCTTTGCAAATGTTACCTTTCTAGTTGAATTTTATACTAAGAGAATTTTGTTGTTGAAGGCGGGTGAGACGGAGGAGGACTGCGAGGACCCGGACCGGCTGGTGCTGTTTGATGACGTGACGGACTCGCTGTTCCCGCTGACCTCGCACGACCTCAGGCTGCAGCTCGTCTTACACTTCCTGCAGTTCCTGGGGGTCAGGACCGTACCATTACACTCTTCTCACAGGTAAGGGGGGTCAGGATTTCTCATCTACATAAACTAGAAGGGACACAGGTACATCAGCTTAAGAAAGGTAACATTTGCCAGTGCATAATGTTACCTTCACATGGTCTAGCCTAACAAACTACTGCTCTTTTAATTCTTACTCAAACACATTCATACATAATGATTATGATGACCAGCCCCGCAAACTCTATCCTGCCACTTGCTACATAAAGTTACATGAAGTTGTCTTGTGCAAGAATTCAAAGAAAGTCTAAAGAATGCTAAGCATTTGTAGAAGTGAGAATGTTCCTTTGTTTTCATGTATGTATGTAATGTATGACTCGAGGAGACCTCAACAAGTAAGTAGTATGTAATGTATGTAAGTCCCACGGCCGTAGGGGCATCATGACAGCCAGCAACATGTCTGGACTTGTCACGATGACTCCTCAGGCTTATAATCTTGGCGGCGCCTATCTCCTCTCCAAGATTTGGCTGATACAGACGGGGTTCGCCAGGCCTCCGTCCGGGTGAATGATGTAAATCACCATGTGGCATATACAAGACGGAGGTCGCCAGACAAGGTGGGGTTCGAACCCACAACCTCTGGGGTGTGAGCCGAACGCGCTACCGACTGCGCCACACGACCCCACAATTATTTGTTTTCATAACGTGTACCATTTCCCCCAGTTTCCACACACACCGACATTCCAGACTGACCTTGGAGGAAAAGCAGTTCCTGTTCTCTGGCAGGGCTGCCCACCGCGGCCTGGGCTGGGTGCCTGTCTGTAGTGGCACTGACAGGATTAACAGCTGGACGGAAGGCGAGGACCCGAAGCGGGGAGAGACGAAACTGCTGCGGAAGTTTGTGCAGAACGTGTTTGGCCAGGTGCTGCAGGTGTTCTCAGGTGCTGCGCGGCTGCAGCTGGTCCTGGCCTGGCTGCAGCACGAAGCTTCAGCTGTGCTGAGTCTGCAGGTAGGGATTTTTTCATTTACTTAATAAGGCTTATAGTTCACCACAAAACAAGGCTCAAGGGAGCCAATTAAATGTTTTAACTGAATTGTAGACTCCTGATTCTCACAACGTACTCTCCATGCAGTGGGGTCAGGCTTTTTTGGCATTTTTATCAGACTAATTCATTTTTGTACTGATTCTTCTTTTTTGCCAGCCCCAATGGTAGCCTATCAAATACAGCTTTGCCAGTTTGATACT